AAAAAAAAAAAAAAAAAAAACAAATTTTGGACATTTTTTGTTTATTTTTGTACACAGAGTGTACAAGCAGTGTAATTCTTACACGGCTGTCAAACAGCATAAAGATGCAGCAATTAGTGCATGATAGCACTTCAACATTATGACCCGCGATCATTTAAGAGATTTAGAGATGGCAATTTTCCCGACCCCGCGAGGCCCCGCCCTGAACGGGTTGGTGGGGCAGGGTTCGCTGCCCCATCTCGGGTCGCAGGGCAGGGTGGGGGTGCTCCGCCCCGTGAAGAATTTAAAAAAAAAATTAAATTTCTAAATTCTAACCCAACTTAGCCTGCTGACCCTACTTCAACAATTATTAATTATTATGGCCAAATTAATGGTTGTGGGCCTTCAAATGTTGTAGTTACTAAACCTTGTATAACCCATTGGCCATTGAAATATGAATTGCACAAGTCACAAGACACACAACAGACAACGTCGCACTAAAGCAAAAGTCATGAGCGGTGGCTGTGAACCGACGTTTCTCTTTTCTACTTACAAATATTTAATTTTGGACATTGTTTGTTTCTAGTTAGTTTGAGCATTATTTGCTTTGAATTTTAAAATTTTAAATTTATATTTAAATAAAAAAATAAAAATAAAAAAAACGAGGCAGGTCCCCACCCTGCACCCTCCTTGCCTCGCCCCACCTAAGGCGGGGTGAGGCACGGGGCGGGCAGAGTGGGGGAGTGGGCCCACCCTAAACCCGCCCCACTGCCATCCCTAGATCCAATACACAAACATAACACATAGTTGTGAAATTACCAAATTCCAGTCTTAATTATCAAATTTGCACGTTGTTCGAAATAGAAAAACAACCATTACAAAAAGGTAATGATTACATCACCAAAGGGGAGTTATTTTTAAATTGTTTAATACACGAGAGGTATTCACGGAACTTCAAATTATAGCATGAAAAATTTGAGTGCAAAGAAGGGCGCAGATAGTTTGGCATAATTAAATAAAATCGCTCGTGTTGATAACGTGTTATAAAATTAGAGAGATAAAAGAGAAATATAGAAAATAAATAAAGAGTCAAAACTCAAGTGTATTTTATTGAAAACCAATATCTCATAATTATAAGGCTCAAAATAAGAGTTACAATTAAAATGAAATAGATGTTCTAAACTAGATAAGACTTGCGTAATTATCTTAAAAATACTAAATAATCATCAATAATTATTTCATTATTTTACACCACGGTCTAATAATTTTTAAATTCCGTTCAAATCAACGTACATGGCGATTTAAGTTGAAGGAACTAACCAAAAATGCTGGGACCGTGTGTGGATTTGATCATATCAAGGAGGGGAGGAAGCTGAAGGTAGGTGAACAAGGTAACTGGTACACAAGTCAATATGATTATTGGTACGAGAATCTGGCCATTTTTTTGAGCAATTACAAGATATATTGTAGAACTAAAGGCGATCATTAGAAATGCTACAGAGAGGAACAAGGATATTAGGCCAATAATCAATCTGTTGGGCAAGGAGTAAAGAAAATCATTTACTGCATAGCGGGTGGTGAAAATGGATAAGAAAGATATAACAGTAGTAATTGACGAGAGAAGCGCAAGAGAGTCTCCAATTGCAAAGGCTATGAAGGAATTCCGATCGGAGAAATTGGGGAGGCCATCGGTCTTGTTCCCTCCAGGTACTGTGATTGCAGCAGCAAATGCCACTGTCGCAATGAGTGATGCTGCAACTGTGCATGAAGTTGCCATGCTTATGATCCATTGCGTCTCATATGCAGCCATTTCACGGTGCTCCTCATTGAAGATCGTCAGTGGTGTCTTCCCATCGGAATTCTTTGACTTCCTTTCTTGAGGCAGTACAAATTTCTCCACTTCCTGCAATAAAAATTTCATCAGAAATCAACTTTTGTATGCTCTGAGGGTGCATATATGAGATAACTGCCCAACGAGAAATCTCATTTTTTCGAATTTTACTACTTTCAGAAATCAGATCCAAGTGGAGCCAAAAACGAGGTGAGTCAACCGACGCGGAGTGAATTGGTTCCTAAGGAACCCCACAAAGGACTGCCGTCCGATGGGTACATGAAAGTGACGAAGTTGCTTTGACTCCACAACCCATGCCTGTCTCTTGGAGCGAATTGGATGGATTTCAAGCTTAAGAATTCATTACCTTGTACCACTGCAGTTCACGCTGCATTTGAAGAACAGCTCCAGGCTTAAGATCAAGTCGATCATGACAGGCTTTATATCCCACTAAATGCAATATATTGTTCCTTCTGTTGTCCAGTAGCAGCGATAAGGACATCTTGTACTGTCCACTCTGCTGATGCACAATCTTGAAAATCTCTTCGTGACGGTACATTACAGCAAGATGAAATACTGAATGGTTCTCTTCATCCAAAAACGTTATTGCATGAGGAAAGGACTCTAGAATTTCTTTGACAATCTCGTTTATTCCATTCTGAGCCCCTAAGAGGAAGGGCCCTGTAAGTATCGATTTAGCTTCGGTATTATCCAAACTTCTAATTTCCGAGCACACACGTTTTACTAGTTGAAGTGCTTGATGATGCATAAATTTTCTGTGACGAATGTGTTTGAGGGGTGGCACTGCAATTGCAACAAATCACATTACTTCATAGGTAATATAATCTATTTATTTGTAACTAAGGATGTTAAGGCCCCGTTCGGGAGGGCTTAAAATCCAATTAAAATTGAAAATATGGCCGTTATTGGGTCCCACCCTTCTAATAAAAGTCAACAATAACGGCTATATTTTCAATTTTAATCTGATTTTAATCCCTCCCAAACAAGCTCTAAGTGCAAGTTAGGTATGTAGCATTAGACTCTTCTAGACTGTTTAAGATTTCAGTTTTTTTTCTTTCATAATACTGTCCAACGTCTAATCCACCTTACCAAACAACACAAGTGGCTACAGGAGCATATTCCTTACCCATCATTTCAAGCACTTTCCAAAGTATTAAGTGCATCTCTTTGCATACTGCAAAAGGGAAAAAAACCAAGCTTGTGAGGATTAGAGATAACTATTGCTAAATGTGGAGTAATGCTCGAGTTTTCTCTAAACTTGAAAAGCAAGAGAAAAGATTTAGTAAAAAAATCAGATATTGGCTAATTACCTCTGAAAAATTGTTTTCTGCAATGCCTATTCAATTTGATGGGAGAATAATAAGATAATTTACTCATGCCTTCATGTAGCAAATTCTCTGGCCTCACAATCAGTTTCATCGGAACACCTAAGATTCAAAGACATTTATGATTTGGAAGTAATGTATCTTAGTAGACATTATCTAGGAACACCAACAATTCAGACAGGATCAACCATGGAAAATAATGTTTCTTGGTAGGCATTATCATGTTATTTAAAGCATAAAATTTCTTTTGTTTGGTCCCTTGACTTTTGAAACAGTTTAGAATAGGAGATCATGGAAATATTTCCTTGTAGCTTATATCCTAGTCTAGTTTATAATAGGATTTTAATTTTTTTCCTTTTTTCTTTTCCTTCTGTTGATAGGAATGTACACCTCTATATAGGATTGATTGATTATGTAATAAATCATTCCACCTAACAATGTATAATTACACAAAAAACTATAAGCTGAGACATGGATTCAAAAACCCTGCTCTTTACCTTGTCAGTAATCCAACAAAAATCTGTTTGATCCTACTTTATGAGTTATGACACAAGTACCTTGTTGCAATGAAACCACTGGAGAAACTGCTAAAGCGATAAAACTACCTGATCAAGAAAATTCAGCTTGACAGCAGTTCCAAGTAGTATTAGAAACATTTCTCAAAGAAGATTAGGCAAATTGGGAGCCCGGGAAGGTGAGCAGATTTTTTATCTGCCTAAAATCAATATAAAAGGTTTGCAATGTTGGTATTTAAAACCAATCAACACCAGGCACATGGGCTAAAACGTTTTATGCTATGTATGTTTCCTTCTGTTCCCCTTCGTAATTGAGAAAATAGTACAGGTTAAAACCTGTTTATTTCCAAATTTCAGTTAAAAGACAATCTGACGCTGTTAGAATCAAATGGGAAACTGGATAGACATAATTTTCAAAAATACATTCTCTACAAGAAACATAAACTATGTTATTTTGATTTGAACTCTTCCAAGACTTCTTATCTCATCTGATGTTTAAAGTTTAGACATCTTAATTCCAGCCCTTTTTCTCCACTGCTGATAAATATGGATCTTGTTAAAATTAGGGTGTGACCCGAATTCTAATTAAAGTCGACTTAAGCAATTCTATTTGAAATGTTATTTTAGAATCCTATTCGAAACCTATTTGACAAATTCTAATTGAAGTTCTATTTGAAAATCCAATTGAGAGTTGAAATTTGTGTTGAACTTAAAAAGATCAAGATATAGACCAGGTAGGACTTTTCGATGCAATTATGCTCACTGGCGCTTGAGCTCCAGTGAAACTAGCACTCGCCTAGCGCTAGCCAGATGCTCGAGCGGCGGGCGGTGCCCGCCAGCGCTCTAGCACCATGTTCATCCAACCCAAGTCCATTTTCGCGTTTTACACTCATTTGCAACATTTGTTTCCTTTTACAACACTAAGCCCCTATTTGAGCCACATTATTTTTCTCATTCTCATTCTCATTCTTCTACTCATTTCAACCATACATTATTCATCAAACAGGGTCTAAGACTAGGGTTATAGACGTCCCATATTTGTTCTCTATATATATTTGGCTCTTCTGTATAAGTTAGATAGATTGTTACAACTAAGACAAATTAAAAACACAAAATCATTGTATTTTTTCTCAATATTTTAGTGAAATCTCATTTATTCTGTAAATTATCTTGTTCTTGTAATCAATTACTTCATATTGTGCCATATTTTTTTTCTCGCCTATTATTACAACAATCTAGTATCAGAACAATCCGGTATCTTCTTCGTTGTTTATAACAGATATGATAGTTGCTTCTCACACAAATTAAAAAGGCATCACTCCCGAATAAAAAAGCTAAGAGACAGAATAAGATAACAGTACGTAAACACGGGAAAGGTAATTGATCATGAATAGAGACCAAAGAAACTTACAGGAATAGATTAAGTTCTGCCAAATATTCAAGTGCGCTCCACTTAGAAAAGCAGATGATTCCTCAGCCATCAGTTCCAAAGGAGATGTATCTTGCCATGCCAACTTCGGGTTGTGTTCGAGTAAATGGAGAGCCAAATCTAGAATTTCAGCAAGAAAGAGCATATCAGTCGAAACAATTTCTATCTCAGAAATTTTTTCAAGATTGTTAATAAAAATATTTCTTTGAGATGGCTTAATTTTCCTTTAACGGGTGATGCATCAAAACATTAAATCAGCATAAACACGAGTTTATTTCATCTTATTACTTCGATTTTGCTGTTTTATTTCACAAACAGTAAAGTTGTGGAGCTGGGAGAAGGATCCTTAGAGCTGCCTTGTATAAGAGTTAGAGAAAATACACTTACATATTTAAAATCACATCTGGAACAAACACCCTCACATGCCGGAATCAATTTTTAATCAAAGTCTTACCATGTGTACAGGAGGTGACGGTGAGACTAATTCTCGACTTTTCTACGTTCTAATATCACATTAAACCTCAGTGTTAAGCTGCTAGATAAGATGGTTCAAGTTAACCTGACTCTATCCCTGTGGATAAAATTTGACTTGAGCAGTAACTTCACGTACTCACCATAAAATCCAGCATTTATAGCGAAATTCATAAGCGTCGCACCAGCTTCATCTTTAGATGGATTCGAGTATTCATCTTCTCTGGTTTTAGAGAACAAATATAAAGTCATGGCTCTATGACCTCTCATTGCAGCCAAGTGAATAGGCAAAGATCCATCAATATTCCAAATATTTGGTAACTCTGGGTTTTTCCTCACAAGCAGCTTGGCTGCTTGAATATTTCCAAGCACGGCCACTGCGTGGAGCCCTGTATTACCGAAGTAATCTGTCAAAGCAAGTGCCTCAGGTGGCATAAAATCAACCAGCTTCTTGATAAACGGCAACGTTTGTCCACCCTTAACCGCTACCAGGAGCGGTGTCTCTGCAAATGCAGTTAACCTGGCTGTAATTGCTTCTTTTTCAACCGTGATGATTGCTTCCACAGTGTCCCAGTCGCCTTGAAGTAATGCTTTGTACAGGGGAAGTGACCAGCTCTGATCATCCTCAACTGATTGAATTAAAGAAAAATGAGGTTATACATCTTCATCTTCAAAGTTAATAATCAGTAAAAATAACAAGAAAAATCAACAACACTCGGGCATTTTATAAGAAAAAATGGAGATTTTCCATGACTCACCATTTACAACGTAGTCGAAGTTAGTGATGTTGTTATTAATCAATCGCATATTGGGCAACTCCATCTTCTTCAGAAATGATCTGCTATTCAGAATTAGACTATTCTACAGCTGGTAATTATATACATAAAGCCCCAATGCTCTGCTTTGTCGCTTCATTACATAGACTTAGACTTCAGTCTTCAGTTGACTTGCAAGTTGCAAATGTTCCTCCTATTTTTATATTGGGCCGGGTCAACTTTAGAAATTTAGACCTTTCTTCAACTTGTATTAAAAAATTCTCTGCTCTGGACTAAAATAAAAAATAGTAATAATTCACTTTGTTAAGTATTAACCATAAATAATTCAATAGCATAGGTGGACATGACACTTTGATCTATTTAAAACTCATTTTATTAAAATATACTTTTGCAAGGATTTCTTTTCCTTAGTGATACAGGGCAAAGCATTAAATTCAACTATCGATCAATAATTGTAACCCTCAAATTAACAATCAAGACCAAGTTTTGGAAGAGAAAAAGCTCTAAATCACTTTTTGTTTAAAATAACGAAGTATAACTACTAAAAAAATTATACTGTCTAGCACCAATGATTCTAGAGCAACAGTGTAGGTGTCTACAATTTATAGGTTCAACTAAATGAATTATTTGATTGCATTTAAATGAATTTATCATTTAATGTCATGTAATTACTATCTAAACTAGTGCTCACTTGTAGCATAGTAATGAATACCATTACTCATATTAAAAATTTAAAACTCTATTCCATGCTAATAGACATGACTACCCAAAAATTAAAATGCTTAGTTAAATTAATTAAAGTCTGGGAACAATTAGAAAGTAGGGGCCAAACATGTTGGGAAATTTCACTAATTTCCTTTATTTCAATCAACCCGCAGGATCTTTTATTGTTTAGAAGAATATTAGTAAATAAGAAAAATAAA